CTATTGGGCAGTAGTAAATTATGACTGTGGTAGGTACTGCCTTGCTTTAACAACCTAATGCTATAAAAGGAAGACTTAAGCTGGTATTACCCTTTAATAGCCCCTTAGTAACATGGCTAGGATACTACTTGAGGTCAGTATCACGTCTGTGACGAGACTTTCATAGGGGGATTGTAATAGTGTGATGAGAAATTATATTTCTCTTGACCCTTTATGGCGACATCAAATGATTTGAATGGCTGATCAGCTTTTTTATGAGGGAATTTGTAAAAACTACCCAATAACTATAATAATGGAAGATGTTAACAGAGGAAGATCTGGGTGTAGAGTATATAGGAACTCTGTAATATCTTGCCACTTTTTGTAAATCTAAAACTATTTTTAAATTATTTAAATTGTAATTACTCGACAGTAATTTAGTTCACTAATTGATTTGAAAGAGTCAGTATTTTTTGTTCCTACTTTCACTGGAAGAAAATCAATTGAACTTGTTTTCCTCAACTTTTTTTTTAGGATTCAAGATGACCAACGAAGAACCTCTTCCCAAGAAGGTATGGGTTTTGGTTTTGGGTTTTTTGTTTTGTTTTGTTTTGGGTTCTGTTTTGTTTTTTTAAGCAGTTGTAAGCACTTTTTAAAAAAAATAGACTTGAAGGATTATCATTGTTTGCTTATTTCTCATTTCTTTGCCTTTATAACAATAATAGCATTGGAGTTGTACAATGTGCTAGATATTGTATCTTATATCCAGTATATTTTTAGAATATTTTCAGATTTTGGAAAACTTTAGTTATAATAATATTCCCATGATCTACTCTTAACGTTCATTATGTGAATATTTCCAGCTACATATATACAAATAACGTCAAAAATGGAAATCATGAGTATATTATTCTTTTCCTAGTATAAATCCCTTTGATTAAAATTAAAAACTACTTTATTTTTAAAAAATGGTTATAGCTAGTTTTCAAATTCTACTTTTTTCTCTGAAATTTTGTTGTGTAGTCTCAATCTCTCCCTGCTGTGCATTCCTACCTCGAGTTTACTCTTTCATACACACGCAGTGGACGTTATAAAAGAGCAACATAGTCTCTAGGAGGAATTTGTGATTCAATTGGGAAAGCAGGGCATGTGCTTAACTAAACTGAATATTTAAGTGAATAGATACTACAGAAGTTTCCTGTTGTGGAGTGAAATTACTCATAAAATGAGTAAAGGATTGTACTATACTTTCATAATCTGAGAATTACTATGTGTTCCCTCTGGTAGCCTTTGATTTTCCTCCCTTGGAACAGAGTCTTGCTCTGTTGCCCAGGCTGGAGTGCAGTGGTGCCGTCTCAGCTCACTGCAGTCTCCGCCTCCTGGGCTCAAGTGATCATCCCACCTCAGCCTCCTGAGTATCTGGGGACTACAAGTACGTGCCACCACACCCAGCTAACTTTTGTGTTTCTTGTAGAGATGGGGTTTTGCCATGTTGCCCAGGCTGGTCTCGAACTCCTGGGTTCAAGAGATAGCCACCTGCCTCTACTTTCCAAAGTGCTGGAATAATAAACGTGAGCTGCCTTTGGCAGCCTTTTAATATATTACACTACGATAGTCTCCCCCATTCTATTTTATGGTAATACTATTTTACTGGTTAGTATTATAATTTGAAACATTTTTAAGGAAAAAAATTTAAGTGAAATAAGGAAAATACTAATAAAATAAGGAAATACTAATAAAGCCTTTATTTTCTTTTTATTTTTTATTTTCTGAGACAGGGTCTCACTCTGTCGCACATACTGGAGTACAGTCGTACAGTCTTGGCTCATTGTGGCCTCATACCCCAGCTTATGCAATCCTCCCACCTCTGCCCCCCAAAGTAGCTCAGACTACAGGTGTGCTGCTACGCCTGACTAATTTTTGTATTTTTTGGTAGAGATGGAGTTTTGCCATGTTACCCATGCTGATCTTGAACTCCTGAGTTTCAAGATATCCTCCTGCCTCAATCTCCCAAAGTGCAGGAGGCATGAGCCACAATGCCCACCAAAGCCTTAATTTTATACTGAAGTAGGAGAGGTATCTCACCTTCACAGCCTTTATTTGGTATAGTGAATATACTGTTTCTTAATTTTTGAAGCATGTCAGCTTATGCCCTTGTTTCAGCTTTTTATTTTCAAATAATTATAGATTCACAGGAAGTTGCAAATAAATGTCCAGAGAGGTTCTGTGCAGCTTTCACTGAGCCTCCTTCATTGTTAACATCTTGCATGACTAGCAGACATCTCTAATAACTGAAAATCAGGGAACTGACATTGGTACAATCCACAGAGCTTATGCACATTTCACGTTATACTTGTACTGTTTGTGGAGGGAGTGGGGAAGAACTATATGCAATTTTATCATGTCTAGCTTTGTGTAACCATCATTAATCGAGATACATATCTGAACTATTAGCATAAAACTTCATTGAGTTATTCTTTTGTAGCCACATCTACCCCCTCCCTCCCCATGCCTGACCCCTGGCAACCACTAGTTTATCTCTATTTCTATAATTGTTATTTCAGAGTGTTTATATAAACGACATCATGTAGTGTATATCTTTTTGAGACCATTTTACATTCTCACCTGCAGTGTAGGAAACTTCAATTTCTCTGAATCCTCACCAGCATTTGGTGTTGCCGCTAATTTTTATTTTAGCCATTCTAATCAGTTTGTGGTGATACCTGGGATTTTAATGTGCATATTCCTAATGATGATGCCCATTGTTAAGATAACAAATAGTTTACCTTAAAAAAAAAAAAAAAACTTTTGTAATCAAATAATTTTTTTTTAGTGATAAGTATGTACTGAGCTGTTTAAATCTCACACTCAGGAGATGTTTCATAGGTCTCATAGAGCTTTGTGTCTTCAGGAAGATCACTCAATTCATATTGTAATTCTCTTTATAGGTTCGACTGAGTGAAACAGACTTCAAAGTTATGGCAAGAGATGAGTTAATTCTAAGGTAAAATGTTATTTGTTCAAAAATAAAATCTTTGTATAGAACATTGTATTATGCCTCTACACTGTAATTTTCTTTGTGCCAGATACTGTTTTTAATGTTGTTACATCCTCAAATAATTTAATGTACTTTTTGAACATACTATGACCTATTTCTTATATTAACACTGAGGAAAACGTAACACTTTAGAGAACTACTAGGAAGCTATAAGTTTAACAAATATATGGCTTGTTTTGTGTAGTTTTTCTTTTCGTGTTTAACATTTGAAAAAAAAAGTAATCCTAAAAGATAAACTTATATTTGTGGAAGAAATACATAATTTACTAATAAAGTGAGGTTACTTTTTCTTATTAGCGTGACCAGCTCATTTAACTTCATACTCTTCATTTTCTCATCTGTAAGTTGAAGGGGTTGGGTTAAGTTATTTTTAAAGGTGACTTCCAGTTCTGAATTTCTGTGGTTATCTTATAAATGTTTTACAAAAGCAGATTGTCAGGTACAGCATATAATCTTTATAGATTGTGTAAGAAATCAGGAAGTAGGATGTTCTATGTTTTACAGCTTTGATAACTTTTAAATAAAAATAAAATGAGTATTTTAACAAGCTGAAAGCCGGGGAGAGAAAAGATGTTTTGTGAGATAGAGTAAAAGATTTTGTTGTTTCCTACAGTGTGACAATTTCCTACTTTGACCTTTGCACAGCTACTGTATTATGAACACTTTATCTTTTTTTTTTTTTTTTTGCCATAATCTCATACATAGGACAGTTTCCATTGCATACCTTTGTCTTCTTGCACATAAAATTTAAATTGTTGGTATTCTAAAACACTCTGTCTTACGCTGAAGTAGATACTTAAGATACACTACTACTCAATGCTGGGTTTTTTGTTTGTTTATTTAACTATTAAAACAACAACACATACGTTAAAACAACATATATACATATATATAATGTACATATAAATTATAATAGAGGTGAGGTGTTGCTCAGGCTAGTCTTGAACGCCTGGCCTGAAGTGATTCTCTCACCTTGGCCTCCTGAAGTGCTGGAATTACAGGCATGGGCCACCATGCCCGGCCATGATTTTTTTTTCCCCTACCTCTGGCATTGTACACTTCTTTTTATGCCTTCTTACATAATTGCTCTGGTTAGTCTTTGCAGTCATTTTCTTGATTTAACTGTAGGAGGGGAAAAGTCAGTAATCTTAATAAAGAATCATAGAAATGTTGTATTTTAAGATACCTTTAAGGTTTCTAAATTATATGCAGTGTATTACCTTGCAGTCAGTTTAACATCTTTCCTTAGGGAATTCTCATGTAAGACTTTTAGGTGGATTTTTTTCTCTTTAATTTCCTTGGTGATTTTAAACCAGCTGCTACTTATTTAACTAGTCTGTACCTTCTATCCTTGTGATATACATGTTCTTGCTTCAGTTTTTATATTTTTCTGTTCTTCTAAAATAAATTGTTCTTTTATAGTCTCCACTGAGACCTTTCTCTTATACATCCCCAAATATTTGGTAAACTGTACGTGTCCTAGGTTGTAAGTGCCATAAAAACAAAGCATGACCTTAGCTTAACAATAGTGTTTATATAGAAAGTGGATTAGTATGGTATTAAGAAGGTTTTTCTTTTTTTGTGACAGTCGCCAGGCTGGAATGCAATGGTGCAATCACAGTTCACTGCAACTGCCGCCTCCCAGTCAAGTGATTCTCCTGCCTCAGCCTCCCAAGTAGCTGGGACTCCAGGCATGCGCCACCATGCCCTGCTAATTTTTTTGTATTTTCAGTAGAGACGGAATTTCACTGTGTTGGCCAGGATGGTCTCGATTTCTTGACCTCATGATCCGCCCGCCTTGGCCTCCCAAAAAATCCCCTGTTGGGATTACAGGCGTGAGCCTTTTTGTTCATTATGTTGTAACATTATTAACTCATGCCAAGCCTGTTTTTAAGATTATAAAATGGTTTTCTAAAGCCAAATTTTAATTAACTGTACCTGAAGAGCAGCTTGAAAACATGGCTCTTAAGTATGCAGGAGAACAGACATTCAGGGCAGGGTACTTTCCATTAGGAGCTGCCTAATAAGTCTAGGAAAAATCTTTATTGCTAAGAGGACTTAGCAGTATATATATATTCAGGGTAGAGAAGTATAATGAAGAAAAATGGTGCCCTTGTATTCCGATAGCGTGTGGCATGCAGGTTTCTGCCAGTTAGATGTGATTGTTAAATTACAGTCTTGAAAAATGTTGTATTCTCCCCCTGTGTTTACAGGCAGAAATTGATACTACCTTGAGAAGAGTCACATGGTATTTTCACAAAAGAGCCAAAATAAAGAACCTTCAGTTCTACATAATTAGGCACATTCCTAATATGCCTTTTGTTCTAAGGGGACAACATATGAAAGTAGCAGTAGGATTTTTTTTTTTCTATAATCCAGGATTATCCTGAACATCACCAGTGATACCAAAGTATCAAACCAAATCTGGGGTTTGATCTCACCCAGAGCACGCTTGGCATGTTCTCAGCAGAAAACACCTTCTCTATATATCTCCTTTTACCTGTTTCCTGTAAAATGGGAAGGAATAATGAGTGGACTACTTTATTATCAGTTAAACTAGATTTGGGCCAGGATGTGGTGACTAAGGCCTGAAATTTCAGCAGTTTGGGAGGCCAAGGTGTGAGGATCATTTGAGTCCAGGAGTTCAAGACCAGCCTGGGCAACAGTGAGACCCCCTCTCTACAAAAAATTAGCCATGTGCCTTTGGTCCCAGCTCTACAGGAAGCTGAGGCAGGGATATCGCTTGAGCCCAGACCCTGTTTGTGCCACTGCACTCCAGCCTGGGGGACAGAGCGAGACTCTGTCTTAGAAAACTAGATTTAAAATGAAAAATCATCCAGCAGAATGCTCAGTATTACTAAAATCTGTGAGTTTATAGATATCTTCTAGTTTATTTAATAAAAGCTATTTTATTATAACAACTAATGTATGGATTTTTTTTATTAGATGGAAACAATATGAAGCATATGTACAAGCTTTGGAGGGCAAGTACACAGATCTTAACTGTAAGTTTGAGTTTTAGCTTCTTAAAGACTGAATAATCTCCTTTTGATCGTTGTTACAATCAAAAGGGTAATTGGTTTTATTAAAGCAAATCTAATTTTTCTGGTGTTTTATTATAAGAACTATACATAGGCACTTTTGGGTGCAAGAAAATATAAAGGTGAATGAGACATAGTCATTGGAGAAGACAGACATGTAATACTCATGTAATGGCGTGACTTAGCAAAATTATATGCAAGGTTCTGAGTATAGATGCAGTAACTGAGAACTACTTGAAACTTTTCTTTCTTATCCCTAACCCCTTCTACATAGGAATTTGACTTGAAGCGTGAGTCACTAGTCTAGAAGAGAAATAAATAGAAGCAACTAGTAACAGATTTATGACAGGTTAAATTAATATGTATAACTTAATTATATGTAATATATATTTACAAATTTTTTAAATCTGCTGAAAATAACAAAGTTTATCATTTTAAGCCATTTTAGTCTCAGTTTTTACTGTTTGAACCACATACTATTTGTTGAGTATAAAAACCAATATATATTGTTTTCTAACTTCAGAAGGGTTAATACCCTGAAATTCTAATTTTACATGACTGTGTTATCCAAAGAAATCATGAACATTATGAACGATTAAGGCTGGGCACAGTGGCTCACACCTGTAATCCCAGCGCTTTGAGAGGCCAAGGTGGGAAGATACTTGAGACCAGCATAGGCAGCATAGGGAGACCTTGTCTCTACCAAAAAAAAAAAATGAGTCAGGAGGATCACTTGAGCCTGAGAGGTCAAGGCTACAGTGAGCCCTGATTGTGCCACTGGACTCCTGTCTGGGTAACAGAATAAGATCCTGCCTCAAAGTTTAAAATACAAATTGTCCAGCAGTTACTATCATATTATTTATTTGTTTGTTTATTTGAGACAATCTCGCACCGTCGCCCAGACTGGAATGCAGTGGCACAATTTGGACTTAGTGCAACCTCCACCTCCCAGATTCAAATCATTCGCCTGCCCCAGCCTCCCAAGTGGCTGGGATTACAGACATGCACCACCACGACCGGCTAATTTTGTATTTTTAGTAGAGATGGTGTTTCACCATGTTGGTCAGGCTGGTCTCAAACTCCTGGCCTCAGGTGATCTACCCGCCTCACCTCCCAAAGTGCTGGGATTACGGGTGTGAGCCACTGTGCCCAGACAGCATTTTTATATTAAATAGGTTAAAACATACTCATCAGGATTTTGTGCATACTGTGAAACACAAATGTTTCCTGTCTTCTGTTGGGAATAGATGAAACTATGAAAACATAATTCAGTTGGTAGTCATGGAGCACTATGACACCTTGCCTTCTAAATGAACTGTCATGACCAGGAAATAATTTGCTTGTTATAAAAGTAGTTAGGATGGAAATTAAAGACTTGATTAATTTTTTGACCCTAGTTTTTAATTGTTCTTGACAGAAGTATTTGAACTTGATCTTAAAATTATATTTATAATTATTTTTTAAATCATCAGCTAATGATGTAACTGGCCTAAGAGAGTCTGAAGAAAAACTAAAGCAACAACAGCAGGAGTCTGCACGCAGGGAAAACATCCTTGTAATGCGACTAGCAACCAAGGAACAAGAGATGCAAGAGTGTACTGTAAGTATTTCAAGTTATATAAATGTCTTTAGTTGAGGAATTGGTTTTTAGTCTGCCTTATTGCTTGTTAATTTTAAACACCTAATACTAAATATAAGAGGTTTTTTTTAATAGGTATGTACACTTAGAGCTTTAAGTATACCAGCTGAAAAATTTTGATAATGTCTCTTCATTTAAACGAATTTTTTTTTTGGCCAAGAAGGCAATAGTTTTAAGTTGTGTTTTGAAATTTTCATGCATTGTGAATATTAGTTCATCAATTCCAGACATTTTTCAGATATCTTGGTGTCTGAGGGTATAATCAATAAAAGAGCATTTGCTCCTTATTGCTTTACTTTCACTGGTTAGGAAAGCCATCTGATGACTTTACCTCTGCTCTCTTGTCCCCTCTACGTATAGAACTGTTTTTCCTAGTGTCAGCAACTTCTTCAACGTGTCCTTTTTAATTGTTAGAACTTTGATGTGTACTGTGTAGTATTTACTACGTCTATGTAGATCTGAAATCTAGTGACATAATTGATCATCCAGCTCTGGTAGTTTAGACTCAATCTTACAGTGTAATTATACAAAATAATTAGAGGCAGCTGTATCCTTGTTTCTGATTTTAAAATCTGAATGTTTCTTCAATTCTTTGGGTACTCTCCATTCATTTGATACATATTAAAGTCTTCTAATGTGTTATTAAAATCTTCTAAGGTAGTATTCTGATCACTGGAGACACCAAAAATCTATGGGCACAGTCCTTTTCCTGTTTGTTTTACCAATAGAGTGTTCCTTAAGGCTCAGTCACAGTCCTTTTACTTCCTGTACAGAGATTGTTTAAATTTCCACAAAAGTACCTATTTACTCTTTCACTTTTTACTAAATGACTTCTTTACATTTTGCTTTGCTAAAGGCTGGCTTTTATCATTTTCTTTCCTTTTTTTTTTTTTTTTTGTTTGTTTTTGTTTTTGTTGTTGTTTTAGTTTGTTGTTATTTCCCCCTTTTCTTGAGACAGGGCCTCTCATCCAGGCTGAAGTGCAGTGGTATAATCATAGCTCACTTCAGCTTCCTGAGTAACTGGGACTATAGTCACGTGCCACCAAGCCCAGCTAATTTTTTAATTTTTGTAGAGATGGGGTCTTCCCTACGTTGCCCAGGTTGAACTCCTGGCCTTTGGCAATCCTTACTCCTTGGCCTCCCAAAACTGTTGGGATTATAGGTGTGAGCCATCACACCTGGCCCATTATCGTTTTCTCTACCTTCTCACCACATTTTGTTCTTTTGTTTCTGTCAGTTTTGTTGTAATTCTCACACCACTGATACTTTTTTCTCCAGTTACTTATGAATGTTTTTTAACAAATTTCTCTTTTCACGAAAAATGGATCTTACCTTTAGACTGCTAGCACTTGGGAGATAGATTGTGAATAGATGGTGTTGATGGTAATATCTCATAGGATTGGAATGTCTTGAATTCCTTTTCTGTTCCAGATTCCTACTCTTGACATCATAGTTGATGTGTGCACATCACAATGTGTGTGCTATTCATGCACCTCTGATTCTCCATCTGTCCTATATACACTGGCGGTTTTGATCATATTATGCCTGGTCAGGGCCTTTGGTGATACCTCATCACTCTTGTCTGCTTGACCTGGAATTTTTTTTTTTTTTTTTTT